GGGTTTAGGGCTTAGGGTTAGGAGTCGGAGGAGTAGCGGGAGGAGGAGGAGGAAGAGGGGTCGGTCATCCGCGTAAGTTCCGGCTCGACGGGTCATGGTTCCGTAGCCCCACAATCCAACACACAGTTTTTTCATTAAACCCTAAACCCTAAANNAACCCTATAAACCCTAAACCCACTGTTTTTTCATCCTGGGGTCTAGGGCCTAGGATTTCGAGTTCAGGGCCCGTAGCCCCCAAGCTAGCCAGGCTCATCACACGGAACTCCGCACTGGCAGCGCTGCTTGCAGCGGCCTTAGGGTTTAGGGTTTAGGGTCTTGGTGGCCGTGTGTACCATAGCGGTGCGTGGTAGCATGAACGAACGGTGCCGTACATCTTTTCACAGTGCAACACATGATAGATCACTGACACCCAACTGCAGTGCACGGATCATTCGGCAAGTGACAGACCCCGTTCTCACTGAGAGTCCTTCACCCGGCCATTATCAGACATCCCGCCGTTAGTCTAAATCATTCTAAACCATACCTGGATGGCATGCTCGCTGCATTTTGCATTGTGAAGGTGATCTGGTCAAATCTGACCATTTTCTCCCTTGCCAGGTTGATGTGCCAAGTCTTCTCATATCCTACCTTAATTCTCGAACATGTCACCAAAGTTCACGCAATCATTACACCCTATAAACCTCAAACCCCAGACCCTGAACCTCAAACCCTACACCGCAAGACAGGGGTTTCGGGTGGTTTCTGGGTTTTCCAGCGTTTGTTGTCTCAGGCGCAGTTTTTGTTTCTCCCGCATCCGGGGTTTGTAGCGTTTCGGGAGTTTTTGGAGGTTTGAGGCTTCTGATAAATTTATGAACCGACGGAGTTAACACCCTCAACCACACGAAGCCCAGGTGACCGTGTGTCGCAGAGTGCTGCCGGTGAGGCAGGTGGATCCCAGCACCTTGCGGATGCCCCAGCATTATAGGGTCCTTTTTAGGGAACCTAAGGGAGTACTAGNNGGAGAATCGGGGATTACTGGGTTATATATCCCCCTTAGAACCTCCCTTAAGGATTCCATAACAGCACATCTTCTGGGGACGGGTGGGTCCTGTTCGAGTTTTGGAATATGCGTATCAACATCAATTGCAAGAAACTCCGAACCCATCCAAATCCCAAGCCTTGCGCCCTTAGGCCCATTATTTCGTCAGAAACAGCTCCAAAACCCTGCAAAACCAAAACCTCAGGCAAATGCAACTCCGACCCACCCCTAAACCCCAAGTAAGGTTACTACAGCTCCGGCTTCAGGGGGCTCATTGATTGTCCAAAGTTTTGTTCCGTGCTCTTGTGCGGGGTATTCCTAATTTGGGGCACTACCACTATCTTCGTCAGGGTCATCCTGAAACCCTAAACCCTAAACCCTAAACCCTAAACCCTAAACCCTAAACCCTAAACCCTAAACCCTAAACCCTAAACCACTCCACTCCACTCTGAGCCCGGATCCTCTGGCTTGCGCAGCAAGCCATTGAGGCGTTCCGAACCTTGTGATTTCTCCCGGTTAGGGTTTAGGGTTTAGGGTTTAGGGTTTAGGGTTTAGGGTTTAGGGTGCCATTCCGGATCCCACTTCCGCAAAATTACATGCCTTATCCCTCACTTCAAAAAACTTGAAGCCCTGATCCCGACTCCTGCAACGCCATCAAACAAGTCTGGCCCGGTTTGTCTTCCAAGTCCCACCCCTGTGGACGAAGCGCTCCAAGGCGAGATATCGAGCCTTCCCTGGAGGGGTACAGGCCAGGGCCCTGAGTTCCGAAAACCGCCCAGTAGGGCTAAACCCTGAACCCTAAACCCTAAACCCTAAACCCTAAACCCTAAACCCTAAACCCCAAACCCTAAACCCTAAACCCTAAACCCTAAGCCCTAAACCCTACACCCAGCAGGGTTTCTCAGAGAACCCACCAGGCTCCAAGGATGATCCCTGGGAAGAGCTATATTCAAGCCGAGACCTGGGAGAGACGTAGACGTAACCCTAGGCCCTAGACCTGGTTAGGGTTTAGGGTTTAGGGTTTAGGGTTTAGGGTTTAGGGTTTAGGGTTTAGGGTTTAGGGTTTAGGGACCTCCCCTCCCCCCCAAAAAAAATCAGCTGAACTCATGAAGTTGGGAGCAGCGGTTTCGAGAGGGGAACGTGGTGGCGAGTCTGTATGCAGTTCAGACTGAGCCCTCACCTGGGTCCGAAAATAAGGGGTACCGTATTTTGGGGTCATTATAATAGGGATCCTACTAATTTGGGGTACTATATTAGGGTCCCCTGTTTTCGGAAACTCCCACATGAGTTTTTAAGAGAAAGTCCGCCGACCGGAAACCTAAAGTCGACATCCGCCCGACACCCAGGGTCAGCGGCCCCTTGCCCCGTTAAAGCTCCCATGCGAGAGGGGTAGGAACTTCAAATTCGTAGACCCTCAAGCCCAGCACGAAATCACTTCCAAATCTTGAACACACACCAAAACCCTAAACCCTAAACCCTAAACCCTAAACCCTTCAACCCTAAACCCTAAAGCCTGAAGCCCTGAAGCTCAAGGCCCCTCCTGAAACCCTGAGAGCCCTAAAGCTGTTGTAGTTTCAATCAGGCAATACCCCAAGGGTTTAGGGTTTAGGGTTTAGGGCGAACCCCAGTATCTACCGGGCTGCCTGCAGGCGTATCATGGATTTCTACTTCTTCACCGATGCTGCTTTGTATTTCTTTGGCGTGCAGCGTGCATGTTTTACTTGCTGAGAGCTGGGCAGCGCAATGGTGTGCAGCTGCGCAACAAACCATCCTGCCCCACACCCCAAACCTGAAACCCTAAACCGTGATAGCGACTTGACTTTCCAGGCAGGGTAGTGAGGGCTGTACAGGCCCTTTGCATGTGAGTTGAAATCCCATTATGCTTGGCTTCAGGGCTATGCGCTGCATGGGGGCACCCAGGACACTCCTCGCCAAGGACTTGTTGAAGCGCCGCAGCCAGAGTAAGGTTGAAACGAAAACTGAGGAGTAGTATTCCGAAGCAATGTCGATGTCTGTAAACGTTTCGTTGCTGAGTGGCCGCATGACGGCAATTGCAGCGACGGCTGACACTCCCGTCGGCGAGATAAAGAAGCGGGCCCAGCGGGACATGGAGATCCCTCTCAACGACTTGGTTGACTCGGCCGGTCGGCCACTGAAGAAATTCTGCAAGCTACAGGAGGTGGGGGTGAAAGATGGAGACACAGTGAACGCAACCGTGCGCCGTGGCACACTGTGCAGCAAACCCGGCAGGTCAAAAGCCTTTGCCCTGTTAAGTGCTGACGGAACGGTGAAGACTTGGGGAGGTGCAGCATCCGGTGGCGACAGCAGCAGCGTGCGAGATCAGCTCAGAGACGTCACAAGTATCGTTGCGTCGGAAGCAGCTTTTGCCGCTCTTCGAGAGGATGGAAGTGTGGTTACATGGGGCTCAACAGACCACGGCGCTGATAGCAGTTCTGTTCAAGAACAGCTGATGAGCGTGGAGAAGCTGGCTTCCTCAGACTACGCTTTTGCTGCAGTCCGCGCAGATGGAGCAGTGGTGACTTGGGGTCAGCCCCGTTGTGGTGGCGACAGCACCGTAGTACAGCCGGCACTCCAGGATGTTCAGCATATCGTCGGCACGCAGGGCGCGTTCGCAGCATTGCGAGGTGACGGCACAGTGGTGACGTGGGGTATAGATTTTCATGGCGGGGACAGCAGCACAGCACAGGAATCTCTGCACAATGTTGTGGAGATCGTGGCTTCGAACTACGCCTTCGCTGCACTCCGGTCCGATGGCACAGTTGTGACTTGGGGGGATGAGATTTCCGGAGGGGTGAGCAGTCGCGTGCAAGGTCAGTTGACAGCAGTCAAAAGCATTGGCCGTGGGCACTTCGGTTTTGCGGCCGTGCGATCTGATGGAACCGTGGTGCAGTGGGGCAGCTCACTGAGCCTGAGCATGGCCCCACGGATCAAAATGCCTCCCCAGGAGGAACTCCAAGATGTTCTGTGGGTCTTTGGCTCCCAAGGCGCCTGGGCCGCCCTGCGACGAGCCGGCCGCGTGACCACCTGGGGCAACGTGGAAGAAGGCGGGGATAGCCGCTCTGTGCAGGAGCATCTCCAAGATGTGCAGCAAGTGGTATGCAACTCCCATGCTTTTGCCGCCCTCCGCAGTGATGGAGGAGTGGTGACCTGGGGGGGGCCCTTTGCGGGGGGTGACAGCAGCACAGTGCAATCACAGCTCCAGGATGTGCGACAGCTCATGGCCCATGACACGGGCTTCGCTGCCTTGTGTGCAGACGGAAGCGTTGTGACCTGGGGCGCGATGGAAGTGTTGTGACCCGGGGCATCGTTCTGACCTGGGGCACCGTTCAAGACTATTCATGGTCCAGACTGTTCAAACTGCACATTGCCACCGCGGCCCCGAATTGCTTCTGTTTTTGATCTACATCAGGACGTCTTTTTATGGGGTGCAGCGTGAAAAGGGAACCTTCAACCCCAAGCCACCCCACCAATGAGGACGCTACTTGGGAACATCTGCCAGTGCAACTGTTCAGCAGGCGGATCCGAGCAGTGACAGGAGTAGAGCGGTCACAGAAAAGGAGGGTGCATTTGGTGTCGGTGTTGAGGTGATTTAAGGGCTGTGCGTGTCTGGGGTGGAGAAGGTTTTCATTGCAAGTGCTGGGCTTCGCGGATTGAAGTTTCACAGTAGAAGACCCTATGCTGTAGCCGTAATGCTGAACCATGCAGCATGCAGAACCTGATTCAGCGGTGCAGTAGAGCGCATCGAGACGTATGCACACACCACGCGGCACGAGCAGCATAGTGCCATGCAATGCCATGCATATTCAGCAGAATCAAACATTGTGTGACGGAGTTCAAAGGACCATCAACGAGATGTGCTGCAAGATAGTTGAAAGGCTTGAAGTCAACAGTTCACCAATTCAGTCAGCAGTATATGTAGTAGCGACTGTGGTCTCTGTGTGGAGAGAGCACGGCAGAGCATCGAATACGTAAGGGCAGTGCACATCCCGCATGATACAGCATGAAGTGGCGCCGCCAGCTCAGGCAGAGCAAAGGCCGAAGACCCATATTATGATCCGGTTGGAATGATGTCATGCAAGCTTGATGTATTGTAAAAAGTCGTTTTTCTTTGCTAAGTATCAGAAGATGTGTGCTCTGTGCAGCATTGGGTTCTACGAAGCAAGGACCAAAGCACCGTGTAGCGAAGGTAGGAGGATGTAATGCAGCTTTTCTTTTGGGTACCGTATTTTTGTTGTCTATTTTTCTGGTTTGTTTTTG